AAATTACCGAAATATACCTTTTGCAATTCAGGAAGTCCCATACAAAGTGGCAGACGACATCTCTTCAGGCGATAGTTTTGCTTCAATTTCCGTCAATGGATATCCGGTGACAAGACATATAAGTTTAATAAGATTTTAATTCTATAGCATCTTAACATTTTCTTATCATACGAAAATGATGCATTCAGACTTTGCATAATAATGTAAATGTAAAATAACATAAATTCGAAAATATTTCTCAAGATTTTTTACAGAAAATGACAAAATTTACTCAGCATAGCGCGAAACTTTCCAAATGAAGCTAAAGGTTGCAAAAAAGTACCAATATCATGTGCCATTTCCTTTTCTTTTCGATTCCCTATAGGCTCAATCAATCTTAGCATAGGTACGAAAAGTCTCAAGGAAAATATGGATTGTGCTTCATCGTACAACTCTTCGATTTCACTATTGGGTCCAAGAGTGGTAAATATGTAGTCCGATGGTGTGAGCAAAAGATTGAAAAATGGTAATCTGAATGCACAAATTCACAAAAATTGACTCTTATATCAAATAAGCTTACTTAAGAATAAGAAAAAATGAATAAATCTACTCAAGAATACGTTTCAATCATATATAAAACGTCTTGCATTTTCAAAAGAGTGAGAGTCTTTGTTTATATATTCTTCGACTGAAATCTTCAATTTTATCAAAATTTCATGAGACTTTCACACAAGCACCAAAAACAAGAAGATTTCTTTAATTCTTCAATACAACATTTTTTCCCTTCATTCTCAAGTCAGTCCTTAGTTCATATCACTCTTCGGTATTCCAAGGTACTTAGACACTATATTCAACCTTATGATTTTGAAATGTTTAGTAACTCCATTTTTTACTTTAAGAGACTAACATAATTTGATGCTTAACAGTGCAGTAATAAAGGTGACATTTTGACATTATTTACTGGTACAAGAAATATATGAATGAATTTTATTTACAATATATCATAAATGCTAGTGCAACTATTTAGATAATGCCATTTCGCTAGTAACTAAAAGTAAACAAAGTTAAGGAATACTTTTTGGCCTTTGAAAACACTTCCTCTTTCAACATTGCTAATGAGTAATCTATGGAGCACTGTACAGTAATAACAAATCCATTAGGTAACAATACATCGATGTCTATGTTACCATCCATTTCTAATTGTCTACGTTCAATTTTCAACCACATATCAGGAGTATCCTTTACATCAGCTGGTTTTTCAGCCATGTTTTTACG